TGATATTCTCACTGCCATAAATAGACGGTGCAATACTTCTTGCAATCACGTCATAAACATCAGGTCTTGCAGAAACACGTCTGAACTCTTCTTCTTCTTGCATATTTACAGCATTAGGATTACTTCTTCCTGGGCCATCCGTGTCCACTTGGATGCCTACCACACGCAGATATGGACGACGTAAACCAACGCCGACATTTTCACGGTTATCCTATAAATCAATGTAATGTAGTTTACAGAGGCAGCCAGAGGGAATACCATATTACTGCGGCCCTGCAATTCCGGTGCAGCGCTCTAACCTGCAACCACCGTTATTTTAATAGATGGTTTGGAAACTCGATGAAAGTACAATATAACTCATTAACTATGTTATTGTCCAGCTTTATGCAAGAATTTGGTCCTACTGTATCTCGTCACGTGTGTATTGTATTTTCGCTCAAATAAGCAATTATAACAAGTTTGTGGTTGAGTTATCCATCCGTAACTGGAACAAATGCTCAATTTAAACATTGCTATTGGTTGTGCAGGAAAAAAATACAATACACACGTGACGAGATAGGCCCAAACTCTTGCATAAACCAAAACCAACATACGTACTGTAGTTAATGAGTTATATAATTGTACTTTCATCGAGTCTCGAAACCATGTATTCTATTAACTGTGAACCAACTGAGCTACAGAGAGAGAGTTGTCGAGGTCTAGTCACAAGTTCATGTATACAGTATATAATGTATACAGTATATAATGGGTGAAGTACTTGTGGTTAGAGCTCGTTTACTGGACCGTGTAGCTCAGTTGGTTAGAGCGCTGCACCGGAATTGCAGACTCGATTCCTGCCTAATAAATGTATAAAAATTCCACACGAAATTTCCATGTGCAAATCCTTCAACAATTAATCTAGATTTACTGTTTATCTGCATAAACATCCCCTCTCTGATCATACTAGTGAGTGGTAAATTTTCCTGCTTTTTTATATCACATTATTCTAACCGCTCTATTTGTTTTGTTTTGAATAAATCTCTGACCGTTACTTGAAGACTGCCACTGTATGGAGGTTTTAGATTTCACTGTTTTTCCACTAGTCAAATCAGTTTCTTACAGAATTTTACGCTGCTGTTTGAGATTAACTGCACTGAAATCAACCAATCACAGTCGAGTAATATTTTTATGTACTGTATAATATTATTTAATACTGTAATTATTCTACTGTATATAGTAGTGTTAGTATTTCGACAATTTATTATCCCTTAAATTTAGGCACAGCCCTTTAAAAATCAGAAGATTGAACGGCACTGTGCAAAAATACGTAATAAAACTTTGAAAGGCAATTGTGCTGAAGTCTGGTTTTCATATGTTGCCCACATTCGGGGAGGGGAGGAGGTTATTACGTACCTTTTTATTAAGTTTTCCTGACTTCTTTATGGAATATATGCCCATAACTGTCACTCTGTTTCCAGGGACAACTTTTTCTGTCAAATATCTGAAATAATAAAACGTGCACAATATGCTCTTGAAATATAGACGTTAAAGGATCGAATAGCGAAACATCATACGGAATAGTGAATTTCAAATTCCACTAATCCTGTTAAAACGAATATAAATTTCGACCCCAGTAATTAGATAAGACTGTCACTAAATTATTTACTTTGAACTGTATTTGAACAACACAATTGTTAGGTTGATATTAAAACAATTCAGACACACAAAACTATATAGGCATTAGAGAAAATTCATTTTGAACATTTTTATTGGGACAAATTGTATATTTTTATGTAGTTATAGATATAATTTTCAAATAAAGTTATTATAATAAAAATAAAAAATTCATAACACCAGCTAATTTGAATTAAAGGCTGGGTGTGGCACCAAAGAGAAAAGGGATGGGTAAACAGAATTTTGAGTGAGTAAAAGATTGAGTAAAAACTGAAGGCTGGAGTGACGATACAAATTGATATATTGTCATTTCGAAAGACTGACTCGCTCAAATATTGAAGACTAAATGATATGTGAACAGTCATATATGTCAACATAATAATGTAAAACAATCAGAGTCATTATCTTTATCATTTTCCGAATTGCTAGGAGGTACATGTAAATGGTGTCTCCAAAGAAAGTATATGTACAGACAACATGAAACTTTAGACTGCAGAAAATTCACAAGCAGTTATCAAACTCATGTCACAGAAGTGCTGAAGGACATGTGTGACAACTAAATGGTAACCTTTTGTAAAGTTTTTTTTTGGCCATGAGGGGTGGGTATTTATTTTTTAATTGATACAAGGTATTTGAGGTTGGTTAAAGATATTTTGGACTTTTTAATGATTGGATCGGCAAACGTTTTGCCAAGAAAAACATCTTGTTTGGTACGCCATCCTGTAAATAACGACCGGTCCCTAAATCCATTGCAAAACATGCAATCGTGAATTGAGTATTGATTTTGTTTGCTGGACCTTACCTATCACAATATAACTGCATGTGTCGAGGCATTTCCCCCTTGGGAACAGCATCAGGCAATTCCTGTAACTTCAGAACTTGAAAATCAACACATTTACATTTATCTGGAATGATGAAGAATGGATCCATTGGACAAGGAGGTCGACCAACTTGCTCTCTATATTTGATTGATAATTATACTGCATTAGAATTGAATCTACTGTGAAATAAGCAAGAAACAACTATGGTGTTAGATATCTTTGGCCGGTTTTTCAAAACTAGATTCGTGCTATTACCCTCAGTTAAAATTGAACTTGCTGTTTTAGTTTCTGTATTTCAGCACGCTTGTTCTGATTTCAAAAATTCAAAGAAAACTCCTACTGATCCAGATAATATTTATGAAGAAATTTAGGAATAATATAAATTCAATACAAAATAGCAATTCATTTGATCAACATACCAACAACAGTGTTTACATCATCTGGCATTAATAAAATAAAATAATAAAATAAGGCGCATCAGGGCGTGATGCAGCTTATTATACTGTAGGTTAACAATAGAGGCACACTCTTTCTTTCCTTCCACTAAATAAGTTCAATACTTCAGTTATATTGTACATAAATTATATGTTGTAAATATACTAACGTTGGACACTTCCTTGGCATTGTATAACCTTCCAATCCTGGCTTCAAGATAATGTTTGGCAGAGTGTTCCTGCAGGCTCGACACTGAAGTGTTATCCTCGTCGCCTTTGCTCGAATTGCTGACGCACTGATTATAATCCCAGAAACTTTTACAAGTTTTGATACATGATCAGACTAAACAGATTAAAACAAAGGGCAAACAGTCTATACCAGAATGGCAATGAAAATAACCAAATATTCGGGATTTTGTAGTAATAGCTAGTTCCAAATTTATTAGTTGCAGTGTCAAGTTTCACAGAACTACTTGTACCTGAACAAGTATATATTTTATATAAGCGGAACTTCGATCAGCTAGTAGTGACAAGTTACGTTAACGATTTGTAACAAGTCTTTGAATTGTCCCAAGTCGAGGAATTGTAACGAGTCGAAACAAAAAGTAAGGCAAAAAACAATTAAAAGTACCACTAAAACTAAAACTTCTGAAGAGATATAATTGATGTGTAATATGCAATATACACTCAAATGAATATATTATGTTTGTGATGTTACTCTGAGTGTGTATCCACACTGGACAAGCTGAAAAGTTTGCCTGACCACGGTGGGAATCAAACCCACAACCATCAAACATGCATCATCAAATATGATTGAGTTTCAAAACTCATACCTTCAAGTATCTTATTCCGTCAGGGTTGGCATCAGATTTCAATGTCACTTGTATATCCTGAATTTCCTCTTCACCCTCAGGTCTTGGTCTGGTTGACTCATCAGCAGCCTCTTTCGCGGCCTCTTCAAACTAGGAAATTTTACATTTTTTGCAAGTCTATCAAATTGTACTCTATCGACTCAGTAATTGAAATTCAACATTTCTTACCAATGGCAAATACTCTGATGGTTGTTTAACCAGTTTATCACACAATGTTTCATCATAATTTCTTAAATCTTGAAGATCAACCTCCAATGTATAATCACGTAGATTATAATTTCTGACAAGCTGATCCCTGGAAAGATAAAATATTATTAACCCAATGAGCCGCAATGTGCCCTACTTATTTTTCTTTACAAGTTTGTCTAACGTCAGACGATTTTACTCATCAATGGCACAAGTCAATGGGGAAGCTTTGCAGCTTAATGGGTTAACCAAAAGATCTGACAATGTCCCTAGTTAACCCATTGAACTGCAATGTGCCCCAGTGCACCCTACTTATTCTTTTACTTGTCTAATGCCAGACGATTTTACTAATCAATGGGGAAGCTCTGCAGCTTAATGGGTTAAACAGGGCCACTTAGTGAGACAGCCCGGTAAGCGAGATCTCACTGTGTAGTTATTTTTATAGTGAAAATTATTGCGTGTTTATATGGACAAATGGACTGGCCCGGTTGCAGAGATCTCGCATGAAAGAGGCGAGATCTTGCTTACCAGGATGGAAATTTCCCCCTGTAAACACTCACAAGCAGGCTAGCCCGGCTGGTTGCCCGGATTTCTCATATATTAAAACACAAAAGAAATTCACCCCGCTGACGTGCGCTTACCGGGCTGTCTCGCAAAGCGGGCCAGGCTAGCGGGCCAGCCTGGCTCCATTTTATAATATAAACAGACCCTTTAATTAATATAGTACCCGGTACGGTATCAAATATATTAACTTAACTTTAATATATAATGTTTGACTTGGAGCTGCAATTCCAGATGTACTTATTACAGTACAATGCATATTACACAATATTTTTGTACACTAGCACAAAAAAGATTAAACACACATGTAGTTAAAACAACTGATCATTACAAACAAAGTGAACCTTACCGATAGGGGTAAACAAATGTGCCCTCGTGAAAATCGCGGATAAACTTCTTGAATTTCTTTTGGGCAGCACTTCTCGTCAACTGGTTCTGATCTAGTTGATCTTCTGAACCAAATACATCGCTGTAGAGTACTTCTCCTTCGTCAAAACCTGACATTTTTGAAAAAATATAAAAGCAATCACTGACTCTTCCTTCGAATGTGCACAATTTAAATGCCACATGTTTACATTTCGCCAGTTTTGGCGGGAACACCGAGAGTTTCCGAACAAGCCATCGAGAACACTTCGATCGCCTCTCGGCCTCGTGTCGTTAAGCGCGAGCACAGAGCTCATAAAGTCAGCTGAATAGCTTTCTTGAAAATGTTCTCTATCGAGTCGTAAGCCATATAAATGCGGACGCGTTGGTTTTTGATAGCGGTCATGGCTGGAAACATTTGAAATTTTTCCCAGAACAGAGGAAGAGGAACCGTAGCTAAGCATGCATAGTTGGGGGGGGGGGGGGGGGGGGGGGGCCAAAAATTTCCGAATGACCAAAGAAATTTCCGAATATTTCATGGCATACAAAGCCACGAAGGTGTTTGCTATCCGGAAAATGAAAACACAATTTACAAACAAAAATATTTATATTTTACGCACAGACATATTACAGAAGCGTGCAGTTCTGTAGGAAGATCTTTTTGATAAGGGGGAGGCGAGGGCCGAAGGCCCGAGGAAATTTTTAAATTTAGAGTCTCTGAAATGCCATTTTGTGGACTTTGGGGGAAGTTTTGACAGAATTCTGATGGTCAGAAAACTGAGTTTTAGCACGTCGAAATTTACAATTAATTTGCTTACAATTTAGAAGAACTAAATGGGCGAACAATTTAGAAGAACTAAATGGTCGAAGGCGTATATGGGTAATATGATTCTTTAAAATTAATCAATTGTCAGTATTTTAAAGATATATTGAGGGCTGCCCCCTCCTCCTCCCCCCGTTGCTACGGCCCTGGGAAGTAATAAACCGAAAAACATTTACCGATCTACGATTTGTTAAATGTTATCCATGTAAATGCCCTGATTTTGTAAATCAGTTTATGATACTGACAATACAATTTTAAAATATTCTCTCTGTTTATTATAAACAACAAAAATTTTAATAGGTTTTGTTTGTGGAAACACCACGTAAATTTATTACTGCAAAAATTTTGTTATACTATTACTGCCGTAATTTTCCGAATGACCAACCAGATTTTCCGAATATGTTAATTCTAAAAAGTTGGGGGTTAACCCCCCCCCCCCAATACCCCCCTTCGCTACGGCCCTGCAGAGGAAGTGTCATTTCAGACTCTAGATCCTAGATTTCAAAATTGTTTCAGGGGAGCATGCCCCCAAACTCACTACTAAAACAATATAAACAATGCACATGCCCTTGACACAGACCCCTTGTCCCCCACGAAATCTATAGACCTTCTACATATTCCCATTTTTTCAGTGAGTTCAGTTAGGTGCCAGTATTCCGTGATGAAACTATGAATAAACATGTTTTTAATTCATGCTAGCTACGTACGACTTTTCAATTCCGCTCATGCATTGACCAGGGTTTCGGCCAATATCTATACGCGCAACGAGATTGCTTATGACACGACCAGTACTATAAAAACAATCCGTGCTGGAAAGTGTTGTGGAAAGTGTCGTGTCGTGTTTTTAAAGTCCCTGGTAAAATTAGAAATAACACCATGTTTGGGTTAATAATAGATCATGTCAATCTGGATAAAATGAAATTGTGTTCGAAGTTTGTTGGTCCCCCCTTCTTGTCAACCTTGGTAAAACCTGGGCCTGTCCATACCAGGTAATTCCAGATTGTAGCTGTTGGCAGGCATCTTCCAGGTTATTTTTAAACTGATTGTGCGTAAATTTCAGGCACTCAGGGGCGAAACAAGCTCCTCTTAGTCATTCGGGGGGTGCATGTCTGCCAGAATTGCCCTACTTTGACCGATGATGCCCTGCAGTAAGTTTCTATTTCTGAGACCATATATATTGTTGTAAAAAATGAAATGTTGTAAAATGTTGTAAAACTAGGAAAATATAGCCCTACGAAATTTACAAATTTTCACTGAAATTTTGCGAATTCGTTTAAACGATTCCAGCTTTTTGCATTCCGAATTTTAAACATTCTGGGTTTTTTCGTTCCCAGTTTTACAGATTCTGTTTTTTCCATTCCGGGTTTTAAAGATTCTGGTTTCTCCTTTCCGGATTTTAATGATTCTGACTTTTCTCGTTTCGGATTTTAAAGATTAGATTCTGGCTTTCTTCATTCCGAGTATTGAAAAGACTCTTGGTTTTTCCGTTCTGGGTTTTAAAGCTTCCACGTTTTCGCATTCCCCGTTCCGTTCCTCGATTGCCCTGTATATATATTATAATAAGAATTCCAAGCCCCAAGGGAGTTCAGACCAATGCATGCTTTATGCAGTAGCCAATTACAGCAAAGCTTTTGCAAGCTAAACCAATCAGAGCTCGTAAAAATATGACAATAGCAAACAAAGGTGTGGTTCACGCATTCGTGGTAAATTTGACTATTTCTGTTCGAGGTTTCATTTTGGCTCAAGTTTAGAGAGTACACAATTCGTTTGTGCAACAAAACTTCGCTTTCATGAAACTTTTTCGAAATAAAATCGATATGTCTTGCACATAGAAAGGTCAATATTAAATATAGCTATTTTTCAAACATTTTTGAGTTGTTCTTGATAAGTTATTGCTGTTTTTTGAAACGCGTGCTAATATTCATTGTATTAATATTATTGAATTCGATTCCCATTTAAGCGTTTCGTTTCGGCGCTCACCGGCTCGCTTTATTACTCGCTGGGGCACTCTGTGCCCAGGCGAGTATAGGTTTCGGCTCTGTTTTCCAGTCACAAAATGACTTCTGTAGGACTTGAACTACAATGGTAAATTACACTTGTAGTCTATACCACTAAACCACTTGTCAGTTGTTGAAAACCTTATCGCAACTTATTCACCATTAGCCTCCTCCGCAGGCATGTCTTAATAGTCGAGAACTTATATAATTTAGTTATTAAAATAACTGATGTTATGATTAGGAGGCTAATATTCACCATAGCCTTTTTCTTCTAATCTGCATAATGTTCGACACATTTTAAGGACTTGAAACACAATGGTATGTTACACAACTTCGTCCTTTACCACCAGACTATCTCGCCTCTAGCTGTTTTAAGTACTTTTTTTATTGTAATTAATTCTTTTGCTTTTGATCCTATAATTAATTCATACTATTATCGAAGTCCAAAATACCTCTTGATACAACCAGGAATCGATCCTCTCTTCACACAATTCCAAAACTTCAACCCGTCCACTGGACTATCTCGCCTACACCCAGTGCTTCCACTTGCAATGATTTTTCCTTGCAGCAAGGAAATATTGGTCCTTGCAAGGAATTTACAAGGAAATAAAATTTACAAGGTGATGGCAAGGAAAAATACAAAAATTAAAGGAAATTGCAAGGATTTCTGTAACTTACACCAGTTACAAGTCTTAAACCAGTAAAAATCGACTTATAAACAGTATAGGTCTATAAACAAAAGAGATACAGAAGAATCTGAAAATGCCATTTCCGGCGATCTAGGGACTATAAATTTCAAAATTTGCCGTTCAGCGCCTTCTGCCTTCCAACCCCTCCACCATTATCAATTAAGCTCCTTACGCCCCTGAATGAACATAAACATATATGTGGAGCAGACACGTTTATCGAGGGAACTCTTCAAAGCTTGCCCAAATTTTCAGGCAATGTATTGATGCTCGATTTCTCGTAGAGTCTATGATACATTTGCCTCAAATTTGCCTGAATTTTCTTGATTTTTTCCACCATTTGGGTGACAAGGAAATTTTGTGGGGGAAAAAGGAATTTTGGAGATTGTAAAAGGATTTTTGAACAAGCGATTGTGGAAGCACTGCCTACACCTGCATTAAATTAGTTTTTACGTGTCGGGTGGAATTAATTAACAACTATGCCTGAGATTGAAATGGTTTTGACTACAACAGGGATCGATCCGCTGCTCTCCCTCATGCAACACCAACGGACTACCACTCGACTAGCAGATCTATTCACTGCTTAAAACTATACTAGTTTCTATACATAATCTCTCATCACCAAATTTTATTTAGAAAAATTAAGTCGCCAAAAATTACAGGCCTGAGCCTTTACTCACTTTTATCCAATGTTTGTCCCTTTTTTTCAAAAATGGAAGAATTGGACGAAAAGTTAAGCACGCACTGTGGAACAGGGGAGCATGGCTCGCCATTTTTTCGGAGGATAATAAAAAAATATCGGATAAAATCTAGCCTGCTTGCGTGGAATAGCTTCCGTGCTATCCAACGTGCTATTTTTAGTCACCTTTTTCAAAAATTAAAAAAGTCGCTAAAAATGGATG